TCACTGCCTCCCTGAGTTTGCTCAGTTTTGTGCTCATTGCTTCAGTGATGCTATCTAACCATCTCATCCTCTTCTCTCTTTTCCTTCAATCTTTCCCAGCATCAGGGTCTTTTCGAAAGAGTCCTCTCTTCACATTAGGTGGCCAAAGTATCTGAGCTTGAGCTTCATTATCAATCCTTCCAATGAGCAGTCAGGGTTGATTTCCTTTAAGATTGACTGGTTTGACCTCCTAGCAGTCCAGGGGACTCTTAAGAGTCTTCTTAAGTTCAAAGGCATCAATTTTTCGGCGCATTTCTTACCATTAGGAAGTTATTCTTCATGTTTGACCAAAGTCAATTTCCTTGAAATTTAAATCAGTGCTTTTTTGTCATATCTTGGAACAACTCTGAACATTCTGCCCCATCTTCTGCAAGCCAGCAATCATGTTTTCCTGGGGTCTTCTCTTCTGAATATCCCAATGCCTCCAATGGTTTCTCTTCAGTTTTTCCATTTAGGCTCTTCATCCCTTTGGATGCTCCAGTTTGTCACCATCCTTCAGTGCAATGCCAAGAACTGGGTGGAATAGAAAGGTGAGACCTGGTTTGGCAGTAGTGCACGTGAAAAGAATCTGGGTGCTCTTGTGGATCATGAGTTAAACATGAGAAGGGAAAGGATGAGGAAGAATAAAAGCGGGCAGGCAGAGGAAGTCTCTTAAGATCTTCCTAGGGCAGGCTGATGTTAAGTTCTCACCACCTGCTGCAAAGTACTTTGACAATCTTTCAAAGGCACAATCAGGTGAAGAAAGGGTGCTGTGGAAAATGAAGACCAAGGGGAGGGTTTGTCCTGAGATACAAGAGGCAGACTGATCTTCCTTTTTGTTTTGTGCACATTTCCCTCTTTAAAACTTAGGATGTGACACCATATCTCCTCATCCCTCAGCCCATCCCTCTCACTGGTTCTTTGCTACCCTCCTACATGTGAACAGTGACTTTTTTCTTTCAAACTCCATCTTTTTCTAGTTACACATTTCTCCTAGCAAGAGTTTATGGCCAGCTACTTATTTCTTGCTTTAACTGTTTTTAGCTTGTTGTGATTAGCTAACACCTTGTGGGGTGCCTCGGGGTTCAACATTCTTCCTGCTCCTATTTAATATCTACTGCTTCAGGAGACGATCCAACAGTGTGAGGTACACTGACAATACCCAATTGTGCATCTCCACCTGAGATCAAACAAGTGATGCTATCAGGGTCCTATCACAGTGTCTGGAAGCTGTTGGGATCTGGACGGGGAGGAGAAATTCAGTTCAGTTCAGTTCATTAAATTTGTTATGGCTGCCCACTCCATCAGACTCTGGGTGGCTTGCAACATACAAAAACAGTTAAAACATGCATAAGCCTGCAGCCCAGACTAAAGCAACCAGGACGAACAGGCTCGGGCTCAGCCACACCAAATGGCGTGGTGTGGGAGTCAGTTGGTTCCAGAGGCTTTCCGTTCTTAGTTCTGGGTGGTGCTGTCCTTCCCCAAACAGAGGTGGTGGATAGGTTGGGGGATCCTCCTAAACTCTTGGCTCCTGCCCGAAGAGCACCTGGTAGACCTGGTCCCTCCCTCAGGCACCAGGCCAGGAAACTCTGAATCTGTCCAGTTGTCTGTAGTCAGAGTTCATTTATCCCCAATGTTGCATTTCTACTTATATATTACTTTTGCATTTTATGTTTTTACCCCTCTATAAGCTACCCACAGATGGTTGGCAAGTGAGAGGCCTTAGGAATTGAGTAAATAAATAAATAAGGTATGAGGACAAAGGGCAGGATGGACCAGAGGGGCCTTACATTCTACAGTAACAAAATACACATTTGCAGAATAAAAGTATACCCAAGCAAAGTAAATGCTTCTGACGTGGCTTCTTCTACTGAACATATCAGAACTTCCTGACTGTGGGAGCTGACAGTCAATGGAAGAGTCAGCCCCGTGAAGTGGTGGGTCCTCTTTGGTGGCATTCTTCAGACGCCGCTGGACGCCCATCTGCCAGAGACGCTTTAGGGGATCCTGCACTGAGTAGGATGTTGGGCCAGGTGATCTTTAATGTCCCTTATAACTCCATATTGGCCTTTTGTAGTGCCCATTCTTACAAAAAAGATATTCTTGATTTCTGTAATTATCTTAAATTGTCCTTCCCATATGATTGTTCTCCAGAAGTTCTTTGCACTGCTTCTTTAATTACAAATTCTTGTCTTTTCTCTGGAACTCAGCATTCAGCTGGGCAGATTTTCTTCTATCTCACTTTTATTTTGCTTCCACCGTTCTTCAGCTACTTTAAACGCAGCAAACAGCCATTTCTTCTTCTTTTACCTTTTGCATTTTGGGATATTTTTGTTTGCTCTGTCTTGAATAAGCCATGAATTTCAGTCCAGAGTGCTTCACAAACTCTATTAAATCTCATCTATTATTTCTAACCTTTATACAAAATATTGCTGAGGATGTGATCTTGTTTTTGTTGACTCAGCAGAGCCTCTTCATTTTTGCCTGCAGAGTAACTACACTGTAGTCAGTGTGATTTCACTGTTGCCCATCCGGTGATGCGCTCGTATAGCAGAGTCATCTTTGAAATGGTTGAAACATTAAATTTTCTCAGCAGAATTAACAGTCTGTCTCTTGCGTCATCGGAGGGCGCTCCGCCGTCCCGGGGCTACGGCCGAGCGCCGACGGACGGTCCTCGCTCCTAAGGCCGGACCTCCGAGCGGGCCGGGAAGCGCACCCGGGGCTCAGGGCGGGGAGCCCGGGGGGGGGAGGCCGGTCCGCGCACGGCGGCCGCGAGAAGCGCCGTTCTCGTCCCGGGGCGAATTAAGAGGG